TCACTCAGCAACATGTTCTCCTTCATATAGATATCTACTAAGTTGGAGTCAGGATCTGAGTCTAGGTGGTCTGGCCGCTGACATTAGATTCTTACCTGCTATACTACCTAGATCTGGCAAAGGATGAAAAGGTTGAGATAGGAGGGCACATGCTTGTCATTAGCCCAAAGTGCAGATCTTATCCTATAGTTCCTGACACCAACCTCAGCCTTGGTCACATGCTCTAGTTTCAGAACAGGGTGAGCAGAAGAGCTGGTATGTGGGGCAGTTGGGTACATACTGGTCATTGCCAGTAACAACCCCTTCATGCCACAAACTTCTCATGGAGAGAAGGAACCTCGTGGGAGCAGAGCCTTCTATTTAAATTCGTGTGTTCTCACCTTGTACAAAAATTACATAAGAATACTATGACGATACTGCCCCTTCCCTAGATAAGGACTCTTTACACTGAAATTGGTCACTCTCTAAGGTTCTTGGCCTCCATAGGGGAATCACAAAGTGACATAAATTCACTGAGCTGATGGCAATGCTAGCTTAAGCCCTAGTTTCTTCATGGTTCAGTATCTAATATCCAGCAGAATAAAACATGTACAGATCCTGACTCCTTTTTATTTATTTTGTAACATTTTCTTAATAATCCGTTATACTCCTGCATGTGTAAATGCCTTGCTCAAAGGAATAGAAAGGCACAGGTCCCTTCCAACAGAAATTCATAATAGGGGCAGCTGCCAGTTTTGAGGATACTGTGCTAATAGTATGAATGTATGTAAATTTTCCTTTAGTTTGCTCAACAAGGTCTGAGTTATGATGAAATGAGGCTCAGAAAACAAAATTAATTTTCCCAAGGTTATAGAGGTAGCAAGTGGTGAAGCCAAATGCAAATGACAGCTGTCACTCTCTAGATTCTTACTCCTGCTCACTATGCTATACTCGCATCAGTCTTATTCTCCAACTTTATGACCTGAGTACACAGCCAGAAATGAGGGCCACCTGCTATATCCACTCTTGTAAAACCAAAATTACAGTTTTGGGTGGAGAATCCTACCTTTCGTTTGGTTGAGTGCCAGAATCTACTCTTGAGCTCACCGTGATTCTCTGCTAATGACATCCTGATCATTAAAACCATACAAGATGGAGCAGAAATTTGTGCTTTCAAAAGTCACTTATCTGTGACCAGAAATGAACCAAAATATTTCCTAAGAATTTGGATGTACCCTCACAGAAATATGTGCCGTGTAACAGCCCTGTCTTTGAAGTTTGATCTTAGTTCTACCATTTAACTATATTTTCATGCTGCTAAACCTCTTTGTGGCTTACTTTTGCACCTGTGAGATGATCATAATAATGCTTGTGTAATTTCCTAAGTACAATGGCTCTTCCAGAACACCCCCCAAACACACAAAGGGCCCTCAACATCTCTCTTGATACTGTACAGTGGAGAGATGCCTGACTCAAACTAGGCAATGAAGTTCTCTCTCAACATTCTTCTCACCCTACTATACTACTTGAGAACAAAGGAAGATTGTTAGCAAAAACTGAAAGATGAAATAGAGGTGAAAGTGAAACAGACATGACCCCCTTGTATCTGAAACAGACATGACCCCCTTGTATTGGCATACAAAATTCTTCCTTTAGGCCGCTGGAGTTCTAACAAACCTTCTACTGCTTATCAGAAATATTAAACGTACAAGTGTCTATGAAGAGCTAGAATGAGTGCTCCATAAATGGCACTAACTCACATTTGCAGTGGACTGCTCTTCAGGTCCATGTCTTGTTGAGCTCCTTAGTTTATATAAGAGGAAAGCAAGTTTCTTGAGGCTAGGGACTATCAGCATTTAAACATTGATTTAAATTTTCAGCACAAGGCACACCACAAGTTAAAACCATGAGGATAATAATGTACCAACAGCTGGGAAAACCTCTGAGGGTTGTTGATTTTTTTGTGGGGAGGTGGAAAGTCCAGTCACTTGGGTAAATGCAAATGGTCCTTGGCAGCTCTGGGCCAACCAGGTGATACTTGGTTTCCACTTGAAGCTTCTGTATGTGAATGAAATACTGTTTTGGTCTCTTGTACCCACACAGTTTCTGGGGAATACTTATTCTTTTACCTCCATCTCTCTCCTCTAGAGTAGGAACTCCTTAAGGAAAAGCAACACCTGCCTTGTTCTCCCCACACTTCCAGCACTTAGCACAAGTTATGGGACACCATGGGAGATTTGTAAGTTTTTTTTTTGAAAAACCAATATAGCTGTTTTCTCACCAACATTTATATGATGGGATTCAAGAGGAAGTATACCCACCTCCAACATCATTCCCTTCCTGCCATTTCAGCCTATTTAGACCTCCGATTTGGGGAATTTAACATGTTCCCATTAGACAGCATGGCATAATTATGCATGTACAGCCCCACTGTGAACATATTAAAGCCCTCAGCATGCAGTCCTGTCTTCAACCTCTTGCTAAATTCCAACTCTATTTTCTCTGCTACCACCATTTAGTCAAAATCCCCACTTATATCCCTCACTTTCTTTCCATTATATATTCATTTAATAACCACTTAGATAATAAATACCCATCACTGAGTCTTAAACACAAACATTAAATACAACTTTGCCCTAAGCACCAAGATACTCAAGGAACTAACAAAATTGTCAAGTACTACTACCAATAAGTAAGAATAATATAGTGCAATGAAAACTATGACAAGTACAGAATGAAAGTTATTATCTTGATGGTTGAGGCTGAGGACATTTTCAGAGGTGTGTTAGTCACCTTTTCCTTGCAGTGACAAAACATGTGCTTAGATCATAGTCAGCTGTCTACATTGTTTTAGGCCTGTGGCTGTGCAGACACATCATGGCAGAAGAGTATGGTACAGGAAGGTTGTTCATCTTGTGGTAGCCAGGAAGAGGAGGGGCAAAAGGGAGGAGGAGAAAAGAGAAAAAGGAGGAGAAGAAAAAGAGGAGTAGGAGCAAAAAAGCAGAGAAAGAGGAAAAAAAGAACAAGAGGAGGAGAATAGGAGGAGAAAAAAGAGAGGAGGAGAAGGAGAGGAAGAGAAAGGAGGAGAAGAGGAAGGACAGGAAAAGGAAAAAGAAAGGTGGAGGGGGAGAAGGAATGAAAGTCACACCTCCAATGAGCTACCTCCACTAACTGGACCTTATCTCCTAATAGCTCGTTCAGATACAACTTGCCATCAATGGGTTAATTCACTGATAAAGTTAGTGTCTTCATGATCAAATAACCTTTTGAGACCCATCTCTAAATACTACAACGCTGGTGATCAAGGCTTTCTTGCATGAGCCTTTGGAAGGCAAGCCATATGCAAACTATAACATTTAGGCTGAGTATGGATAGATAAGAAATATTTGGACAAGCAGAGAAGGAAAGGAAAAAGAAGTTCCAAGTTCAAGGAACAGCCTGAACCAGATGAGTTAAACATGACACTTGAGAAAAGGGGCAGCAACCAGCCCAGCTCAGGGTGCCTGGGTGGTGGGGAACAAGAGAGTAGGTAGGAAAATAGGCTTGTTCCCACTGTAGAGGCTCTGAAGGTCCCACTCAGCTCAGAGGGCCAAATAAGCACATGTTTAGGGAACCCATAACAAAATCAGAAATGAGGACATCCAAAAAGTCAGTTAAATTTTGACATACATTTGATTTTTGCCCAATTAAAAAAATCTTAGGTTCAGGTTACAGTATTTTTTTTTTACAATGTAGAATTACATATGGAGACTATCACTAAACTTTTTGATGGTTAGTATCTCTAAAAGATTTTATTAGGCTCTAGACCTATTATAGAACTTAAACCAGCCAATCTCAGTTTGGGGGAGACAGGCACAGTGTAAAAGTTCTTTATGTATGACTTTTAAGTGCATCCTTAACCCCTGCAGGAGTACTATCAGTTTATGAGGTCAGTCAGCTGGTTGCACAAAAAGACTTCCAGTGGTGGCATTTCAGGAACTGTGACAACTGAAGCAAAATAGGGAGGATCTCTGCATGTAGCCCCAACGCTAGGAACTAAGGCCCTTAAAAGGTGTTATATTTCCCCAAATGAAGTCATCATCCCAGATGCCTGCAGAGGGGCTGCCAACTGGTCCTACCACCACTAACTAGCCAAGGCATTCTCCTTAACTGGGGAAGAAAGAGGGCATATCCTCTACCCTGAGACCAAGAGGGAGAATGTGTTTTAGAAGACTATTCCTCTAGATTAGGACTGCCTACAAGATGGAGGAAGTGAAATCTTACTGTTAGGTTGGCTGCTTCCTACAGTCTCGACCCCAGGCCTACCCCAGTGCTGAAGATGACAGACATCCTACAAGAGTTTAACACAGATGTCAAGAATTTAGGTTTGCAGAAATGAAGCTGGAAGAAATGAAATAAAAGGAAATGCATGTGTCAAGCAGACAAAGGTAATCACACCTGTGCAGGGGCCCAGCAGCAAAGGGACAGACCATAACATGGGGAGCCCAAGGGGCCCTACTGTGTCATTAGAAAATAATGAAGGAACACCCTGCTAGCTTCCACACCTACCTCTCCCTGCTCTGTTACACGACTGATGGTCCCTGAGTAGAGAGGGTAAAATGAAGGAGATGGCACCTGTGCCTGTCTAGCACCCAGCTCCTGGTGAGAGCATATTCTTCATATCTATAGCATCTTCATGCCTACCACATTCCTGGCCCACAACAAACAATATAATACTCAAGTTGAAAATGAACGAGTGGCTGCAATTATAAATAGTGCTTGTCTCCCACCCCACCCCAGATTTTCTGGTTTAGAAGTCTTACTTATCAGTCGGAGGAGGGTGTTCCTTTGGCACAGAGTTTTGCTTATGTAACATGACATTACTCAGGACAGGAATGGTGTGTGTCTCCAGCAATGTCAGTTTCTGGGAAGAGCTTAGTCTTCCACAGCCCTACCCCAAAATCTGCTTTCCAGCTCAGTAGATGGAACATATAAATTTCAGGGCTCTTGGCCCTGCTACATAATTCTCAGACTTCCAACAGCAACATGAAGTTGGGAGGCCTCATTCTTCTCGTGATCCTCATTACACTCAGCCTAGGGGTACAGGCGCTACCGGCTAAAAGGATGCAAGTGATGGGTGAGTATACCCCCAGTCTTCCTTGAAAGAAGGGCCAGAAAATAGAACATCAGGAACCAGCATGTACAGGAGAACAAGAAACAAGAGAAGGAAAGGTATTTCCTTCAGGGTTCTCCTTGATGGGCACTTCACTCCCCAGAACCAAATTTCTTTCTCTACTTTCTCCCTTCCTTTCCCTGGTTCATCTATCTGGACTCTCTAACCCTCACCTGCCCCTTCTCTCAGCCACCCTCCATCCCCCAGTAGCTCCCTCTCCCCGAGCTTCTTCATAGGATTGTGATAAAAATATTTTCTCAGTCATGTCGAACATCCATCATCTCTAGCTTTTACCACTTTTTTCTCAAAGGTGTGTCCCAAATTCTCTGCTCTTACTCCCTTGTAACTCATTCCTTAATGCATTGAAGACTGGCCACTGGCTTAATTCCTTTTCCATTAACCCTTTTGAGTAATGTGATGATATTGTTTCCAATGGAAATATTCACTATTAATGACTCATTCTGATAGCAGTCATTTGGGAATTACACTGTTTGCTGAACTCAAAGAAAAAGGTGGAATTTCTGCCTTAGTCAAGTGAGAATTCTGCCTTAGTCCATCCCTAGCCTTGGACCCATTACAGAGGTTTCAACTGCTCTCTTCTAACAGACTACTGCACTATACAATGTGCATTCGACTCGGACTGCAGGCCCAAAGAGAAGTGTGTCAACAAAGACTGTAACTTCATCTGTGTCCCAAGTTAAGGACTGGTAAGAACATCAGGTCTTTCCTCCTTGTCCAACCCAGGCAGCTTGTACACTTGGCTCCCACGGGACTGCTCGGAAATCGGGTGGGCTAGAAGTCCGTCTGTCTCTGCTCAGCCTTTCTCTATTCACCCTAAAGAAAAGATGCACCCATCACAGAATGGTGGTATCCAACCTTTAAAATAATTTTCTGGGACCAGGGAGATGGCTCAGTAGAATAAGCACTTCCCTGGCAAGTACAAGGGCCTGAGTTCAATCCCTGGTTCCACCAAAAAAAATTTAAAAAAATAAAATAATTTTCTGGTCCAATAGATATATCAGGCTATTTTTCAGTAAAATTATCTGTAATCCTACACCCCAAACTGATGTCTGCCTAGCACTGTGGTGCATATTGTAAATACACACGAACACATGTATATTTTAAAAATGAGAATCTTGTACTTCTTTTGATTTGTTGATTATTTTACTTAAAAATAGCAGGTGGAAGATTGGGCATGATGGCATGCGCCTGTAATCCCAGTGCTGGGGAGGCTGAAAACATGAGGATCGCTATGAGTCCAATCTCTTTAGTGAGACCCCATAGACCCTGTACTAAATACATATAAAAAAATAAGTAAATTAATAAATAAATAATGCTCTAGTGGCCCCATGTTACTGCAAATAAAAGACAAAACTTTAAAAAAAATAGCCAGTGGACAATCTTAAGATCAGTACTGATACCCCTATCCTGTCATCTATCCGTACTAGCCTGGCAGTTGGCCATATATGCTCAGCAACCTTCATTAACACATATTGAAGGCATTTATTATTTTTATAATATTAATATAGATGCAATAAACAATAAATTGAACAACATTCCTTTATTAGTTCCCTTGGTGGTCTAAGAAATACATTTGAGGACCAAATAATGTGTTCATTTTATTCCTTTGTTGCACATTTCCATATTGACCTATGAGGATCTCCTTCCTATAAAGAAGGGGTAAGTTCAAAAAAATGAAAAAAGGAAAATATAGAAACAAAGCTTTGTAAATGGGGAGAGGAGGAGGGATTGAAGGTAGAGTAGAGGAATAGGGGAAAAATCAAGTTATATCACGTACAGGTATAAATTCTCCATGATGAATGGGATCATTATGTATATCTAAAATGTACCAATGAAATCTAATGTAAAAAAAAAGATGTACTCTTAAAAAGCAAACCATTTTATGTCTAGAACATATTACTTGGGATGCTCAAGTCTTGCGTGCTCCCTACAGGTATTTTTAGGTTCCATGATTGGGAACTACTGCCTTTCAATGATATTCTGTTCATTCAAGTCCAAAAATCAGCAGGTCACCCATATAATGTATTGTCCATTATCTTAAGTGTCATGTTCTCTAATAGCTGTTCATCTCTTCATGAAGTTTCTACCGGCAAAAGACAGATGAAAGAAGAAGACATGGATGGCAACTGCAGCGAGCATGAAGGGAAGAGGGGTCTCTTTCAATAAATCATAATTGTAAAAATAGTCACACTACTTATTTCATTAGAGGTGATAGCAACAGGCAAAGAAGAAAACATATGACACTTGGGCCCTTTCTGTCAACAGGACTGCCAAATTCTCCATGACCATTATCAAGTTATTCTCCTTTCTTCCTGCGGAGCCCTTCACAGCAGGATCAAACCCCACTCCATTTCTATTTTGAGACTTGATCTGATGAGATTTCTAACTTGCCCAGGATTAGCCAAAACTTGTAAACCTCCTACTTCAGCCTCCCACAATGTTGGAATTATAGATGTCTATTATCTCTAAATTACTCTTACAATAATCTTTTCACAGAGCTTAGCATCATCCTTGCACATGTAATAACATTGAGTTTGGGAAAAATGAAATAATGTGCTCAAAGCCATAGATCACGTAAGTGTCAAGGCCTATAGAATAATCCCATGTGAATCTCCAAGGCCTAGGCAGTATAGACAGTTGTGTGGGCCCTAGTGAGTATCCTACCTTTTTGTGTGTTAGTTTCTTCACCTGCATTATATTACACCTCCATAGAGCTACAAAGATAAAAGAGGTCAGTTCATGTAGGGTGTTTGGCATAGTTCCTGAAACTTGGTGCTCTGTATTCTTGGCTTCTGCATCCACAGGTTCATCCATCCACAAATTGAAAATATTCAGGGTGAAAACAAAAGTTACATCTGTACAAAATATGTACAGCATTTTTTTTTTTAATTGGCACAGGGCCTCACTATGCAGCTTGGACTCATAGTGATCCTCCTGTCTCAGCCTCATCAGCACAGGGATTACAGGCCTACACCACCATGCCTGGTTTGGGGGTAAGCATGGCACACATGGGTTTTGGGGGCCAGCACAGTATGTGGTCCTAGTGCTTGCTAGCCAGGCATGTAGATCACTGAGCTATCGCCCCAGCCCTGTACACAATTTCTTCCTGTCATTACACTCTAAATGATACAGCACAGAAACTATTTATACAACATTATTCACACATGGGGCCAGGAAGATGGCTCAGTAGAATAAGCGCTTGC